TAGAAGAATTAAACTCATATGATACTTAACTCAATTATTGGTATGACAATTAATCATGAGAATAATTATTTTTTATATTTTAGAAATAAAATTCTCATTATCTGAATGGGTTCAATTTTTCATTAGTAATAGTATCTTTTTAAAAAAAGGTATCGATTGACTTTACGATGTCTTATATTCTTATAAAATACACTAATCAATGCACTAATTTTGTGAATCAGAGTATACTTAGCATTTAAATTTGTATTGACAATGTAAAGTTTATCACTCATCACAGTAAATTTGATAAAACACTATATCATATTGTAGGGTCAGAGAAATAATACTGAACCCTACCCAAATTATATCAGTCAGGCTGAATGTATAACAAATTCTGAAGACTGATCACTGGATTTCGTCGAAATCAGAGATGTCCCGTGTTATAGAGTGAACACATGCATTGCAATGGCCGCCTCATGTACAGTACCTTTCTTTAATTTGATCTGTTGAGTACATAACATTCTTTCTAATAAGACTAACGGTTTTTGAAATGTTTTGAATTAGGAAGGCCTTGATAGCAGGTTAAGTTAGGTCAGGCTAGGAGTTCATTGGATGCAATGACTGTGATGTAGAACTATTTATGTTAGGCAGTCACATCATTCCCGTTCAACCCAAGTGGATTGGGACTGCAGGCAAAACGAAACAAGCAACAGCATTACATCGATCACAGTCCGACATCTACAATACTTTCATACAATTCAGCCAAAATTTCCTTTTAGCAATTGAGAAGAATAATGTTGTTGAATATATTCTTCCAATATGATCTAACTGAAGTCATTTACTCTATTTACAAATTGCTATTTAAAAGTGAATTTCCTGTTTCTCAAATGAGCCATTTGGGATTGACTGGCCACCGAAATGACTAGCATATTTGTACCAATGTATCACTGATCAGTAACCAATGTCAAAAAGCAAAAGTACCCTCGAGATATTAGGTACGCCTTGCTGATGAGTGCTAACTAGCAAGAAAACTAGGTCCAGAGTTTCTGTCCAAATACTTCTAACTAGCTAACATGTTTATAAGATGAACTGTTTTCTTGTTCTGTCATTTGAAAATGGTGTAAACATCAAAAGAGTTTAGTCAGTTGATCTACTATATCTCCAATGTAAATAACTCACATTCTAGTTTTACAGTTCCTTTGATTTAACTGTTGAACTTACCGAGTGACAAGCCTCTGTTGATTAGTAACAAGATCCAGGCCATTTCTCAATTAATTTACTCAACCTTGCAATATGATGTCTAGAGCAGTTGAAAACTCAAATTAACATGACCCAGAACCTTCTTTCCCAAATAGTGAAAGGTGATATAAAATCCGACTTATCACAAACTAATCTACGATAAAAAACCTATTCACATGGATTTAACTGAATAGGTGTTAGGAAGGAATGATTAAATAATTCAGTAAATTCGTTATATTTGTTGATTGTACTGGTTTAATATTATGATGTAGTAAATTGTGCTCATTAATTAAATTATTGATTAATTAATAACAAGTAGTTTTCAGTTTAATCTGTCCATAATCCCACTTCCAACCGGTTTAAGTAAATTATGTACCATTGTATTCATATGACTTTTTAATCAGTTTTAGGTGTCGAATAAATCATTATCACCTTTGTCTTTTATCTTGTTTTGAACAATATCTCCGTTTTTCAGTTTACTTATCATAAAAACAAGTTCATTAGGACAAACCGATCTAATCATGATTAGTTAAAAATCTCTCTTTAAAGCAGGTGCTGTTGTCTAAATCAATTAATTCAACCAACTCAGAGTGTAAATGAGCTACAATCATAATTAGAAGCATTTATTAACATATAACCGATCAGGTTATGAAGAGGTTTTGAATCAATGACTTATTCGTTTTAAGTATCACTGAGTTTCAACGTAGTTTAACCGCTTAGATTGCACATTTGTGAATAAACTATCAGAAAAATTAGACAGAACACTTCAACAAAAAGCTTAATAAATTGAATTTGATAACGTACTATTGAAATGTCCAGTACTAATTTGGAATGAACAGGCACTGGATTTACTTAGCTGTCTTCCTCACTACCAATATTCTTAGAAACATTATAAAAAGACTAGTTGCATAATTCAAATATTCAAGAATATCAAAATAAATGAATGAGCCACTAGATTTGTACAATTTGAAACTGATACCTGATATGGAGAGTAAGAGCTTAATCAATTCCAATGCGAATGACATAAAAAGATTGATTTTTTTCCAATCATATAACATGTATCCATATCTTAAGAATGATTATATATGCTTAATTGTTTAATAAGATGTGTTCACATCGTGAGTTATAGAACTCTCATTACCAAATGTAACTTAGTTCAATTGGAAGAATCTGACTGTGAACAAATTTAAAACGTGGTGTATTCCTAAATCATTTTGATTGATTTTAGCAGTCGAAAAAATCATCACCGGTGTTCATGCCTTTTCTCTTGTGTTCAGGTTATCGTATAGATTAATTCTAGGGTTTTTAAAAACAGCTAGAAAATCGGATCGAGTGTTCAGTTAGCAAACTTGTCAATACCCAAATAAGCGGCTTGCTAAATTTATGTCCTAGGGGTAAATGAAGGTCAGTCGAGGCAGATGGTTTGTTACGATATAAGGCTGTGACTATTTTCCTGATAAGCATATCGGAAACAAGGAACGTAAAGAGAAAAAAGTTATGAAGTTGAAACCCAGTAGGACGGTATGAATCCAAATGTTTTGACCAAGTTCTGTTTTCTTGTTTAAATTTAATAACCGTTATAAAATAAAAATAGAACATTGACTGTATTAAAAGAAATCGATATACATTTTGTGAATATATATACTTATCTTTTCAGTTCATTATCATTATTATTGTAGTCAATATCGTCCTAAAAAATAAGTATATATATTTGCGATTGTACAGCTTTGAAAATGAATTCGCCAAAAAGAGAACTCTTCGCTGAACCGATCTTTCTTATTTAATGTCCTACTTAATGGGTGTATTCCGTTTACAAATTTAGTATTCCAGTAATATGATGTATAGTGTTAGATGGTCAAAAACAATTGACCAAAAGAGATATATGTGATTCAGGATTAGGTATATGTTACAACCACAATCGAAGACAATAGCAATAAACCGACCAAACAGTGATAGATTATCGAGAAAGTTGATTTAAGCTGAACAATAAGTGCGAACTAGCCAGCAGTACTTTATTATATTAAAACGCAGTATTACATGAAACACTTAAATACGTTTGAATTAATAAATAATAACCTCACTGAAACTATAAAATGCCATTGATTTTAGAAATTCGTTGGAGATGCAGCTAAACAGTACAGCTGAACTAGCAGTTATTCTCAAAAACTTTGCAACTTTTCCTAATAAAAACCATCCTCTATTACAATATTAACTGATGAAACACAGAGTTAAAATAGACTAACATCAATCCTGAGCTATTCATCATACAAAACAAAATGTTGTGTAATTCCAATCCATTTGCTTATTTTATTTCTAATTTTTTATAAGATATGGGCACTGAAAAATAAGTTCGTGAACAGCATTCTTTTTAAAAAAGTGATACTTCCAAAGTGAAACATGAACACGAAAATAGAAGTTGATATGAGAAAATGTAACAGGCGTAATTACTAAAAAATACGAACTTTAAAATAGATAATGATAATAATAATAAAATAATAATAACAGTAATAATAAAACTAGTAATGTTTTCAGTGTATTTTGAGAAATCGGTAATAGTCATGTCAAGGACATTTTGAAATAAACAATTGTTTGGATATCGGTCAACTATTATTATAACTGTCATTGATAGTAGTGAGGAGATTGTACATTTGCACACACACACACACACACACACACACACACTATATATATATATATATATATATATATATATATATATATAATGGCATTAGTCAATGGACCAATTGAATGTCTGGGTGGTGAATACAAAAGTAATAAAATTGTTCGACAGTTGTCCATCATAAACTCATCCTGACCACCAGAATTAGTGCGTACTTGTATAAATGATGTAGGCAAATATTGATTTCATGAAATAAACATTCTGCGCTATGCTTTAATCCTACCATAAGACAGGTTGAGGACTGTTTTTTTTTAGATTAGATCAAAATTTCGTGCACAAAAATAGAACAATCTGTGTTATCTCATTATTTTAAGAGTGAGGTTGATGTATGTAAAAATGAGCCCAGTGTGAATTGATCATAAAACAGTAATGAAAGAAATATTTATCCCTTTTAAAAGACAGAAAAGTTTCAATCCAATATTAAGAATATTTGGTGAATAAAACTATTGAGCATATATATATATATATATATATCCGTTGTTCGTTTTTCCCTTAGCAGTAATAATTTCACGGTCGTTTATTCATTAAGGTGGACTCATGAAAACAAAAGTAAAACAGTTTATTGTTTATTGAAAATAAAAGGCAAAATACTAAACTAATACCTTCTAAAATAATAATAATAATAACAATGACCTGTTCCTTGCTGAAACGAGAAACAACCGCAAACAATAACACAGAAAATTACGCTTTTCGCATACGTGCACAACTGTATACAAACACGTAGTCATATGCATAAATAAGTAACAAAACATACTTATTGGTCACGTTAGAATAAATAGACATAGGTATTGTATGTGTATGTGTGTGTCAAAAATGGAGAGAAAGAGATAAGAAATAAATTATTTGATATATTCTGAAAATGCCATTGGAATGAAATAATTCACGATAAAATATAAGAAAGTCTAAAGAAACCATTGAATATTTTATTAGTATATTCGAGGCAACAAAAAAAACAATTACAAATCTACATTTCTGTACACAGTCTTGATTATTTTATATCCTACATGAACAAACACAGTAGTAATATGGTAGATAATGTCCTGGACAAGTAAGAATATTCATAAAAATGAAATGGATAAAGAGAGAGGATATTTTAGCACATTTACAGTTGATTATCGCAACCGCCTTTGCTTAATCGATGCTGAGCAATTTCCATAATACCATTCAAGTGTACTAAGGCAGCCAATACAACAAATACATGAAATATTTGATGACTTTGGAACTGAAAATATAAAGGGAAACATTGAAGAATAAAACTTTTTTTAAAATGATACTATGATGATAACAACAGTATGAATAATACAAAAATATAATTAAGAAAAGTTGAAAAAGGGTATACATGAGAGTCAGTCATCAAATTTGCTGTTAAAGATATGAGGACACTTATCAACTCCCGGTTACTTACACCATAAAATTCTTCTTTTTCGGAGATCTAAACAGGAAACTGGATTAGCGATGGCATTTAAGACGTAAGGAGTGATCCCCATTGTTCAAGGGACAATTGACTGAGGACAGTCACACATAGCCGTTTCGTAAGTAGTTTTGGGTGTGTCAACCCCATACTTTGAAGGCCTTAAAGCAAACGACGGTTGTCTTCGGGGTAAGTTGGGATGTTATATTTGGAACGAATCTTTCTAACCTCCTGCCACTATTGTAGAAGCCAGAATCTTTGCAGATATAGGTTGTCTGAAGAAAAAATCATACTCCCATCACTCTCTGTACAGTCGACAGTGCGATTTTGCCCTCTGATCACTGGTTCAGTGCTTTTGTTCTTACAATCTTCTAAACAACACCCCTGACGTGTTAAAACCTTAAGGAACATATATTCCAATCGATATAGTGGATCATCAGAATAACCAATCCCAACCACCACAAAAAGGTATTAGCTACGACCAGGTGAAATATACAAAACGATAAAAGTATTTTCCAAAATAGAAAATCAGTAATGAACTTGACAGTTCTTGGCCAGGATAACATAATTTCAAAGTTTGATATTACAGATTCATTTACAATAAACGATTTATTGAGAAAATCTACCAACTAAGTTTAAAATAGTCCTGTCCATATTTTCCTATTCATATTCTAATAGGCCACCGACCAGGTTAAGAAACGTACTATCTTGAAATAATTACTATAGATATAACTTGCAAGCATTATTTACGAGCTGCATATTCGACTTCATAATCCGTCTAGAAACTATAGATTTATTACGAAGGAATGTGCCTGAATAATTCAATAGCTCTACAATAATCCACACAAAATCTGATCAAAACATTAAAGTGCTTTGCTTTATTTATCATTTGCTCTAATCAAATTGAAGTGACATGTTTGAATATGAAGATTATTAACAATGAAGTAAAATAAAACTTTATATGCTCTTTTACATTACAAGGGTTAATTTAGAGTAACTGGAATCAAACGCATAATATTATATATTCGACGATGTTATTTGAAGTAGTAACTTCAGAGGAATCACTAATATTACGTTTGGGAAACTAAATACAGTGTACAGTAAAACGTAATACTGTATCTTTTTGTACAGGTCAAACGAATAATCAGTGGTTTCAACAGACAAATGTGCTGCTCCATATTTAGGTTAGCTTACACTTTTTACATTCAATCACATCACACTGGACAGCGAAGTTTACCATAATAGAGGTGTTAATATAGAGCATGTAGGATGTGCTCCAACTATCCAAGTTTAATGTAAATCCTAACACAATTGTTAAGCATTCGAACTACTCTATTTAAATAAATTTACTAAAATTGTCCACCAAACTCTTGATGTCAGTAACTTAACAGTTAAGTGCAAAAAGCTATTAGCTAAAACATCTCACAATACCACAGAAGAAAACAACTACTATCATCTCATTGCACACATTTAGACTGTCAAAAAAAAGTATATTCGGGCTACCACGGTGTGTACCTAAAAAGGAAACAACTAAGATTTCACTATATATGCCATAGTCTTATCGATATTATTAACTAATACTTAAAGTTACAATTAGTAACCAATACTAAGGACTCCGACATAGTTTCCACTTTAAGCTAACATCACCTGTTAAAAGCTAATGAAAACCAGGGAAATGCTTTGTTCTACTTAGGGACCACCTTTAAAGTAGTACACATTCACAACTATGCACGGCACTCAACCTTAGGCCTTCACTTTTCTCATGGTAAGCAAGATAACTTCACACTATTGAGTCAAATTTCAATAAGGCTTATGTCAAACTTCAATTACGATGAAATTATCAGTTCATAGTAGAAATCTACCTCCAGGTTTAACAGACATTTATAAATCTCTAACCTAAATATTACCAAAAACAATGAAACAATGTTGATTTAGTGATAAATAAAACAATTCGATAACTACAAGGGAAATAGCTCACAGTTTGCTGCTTTTGTAAAAATGTTAGTTCGCATAGACATAATGTTACAGTCTGTAAATAGGTGTGGCTAGAAACTAACAACATATTTAAAAGATGCAAAAAATCTGGTATGATTTGAAACCAGGCCTAGTTTACATTTTACATAGGAACAAAAACGTACAACAAATGGTTCTGAACGTACAACACAATACTTACATAATAATGAGTCAGTTTTTAATCCCTCCATATCTTTTTGTTTCAGGTTTGCTGCATTTGTCTTTTTTTCCTTTTCCAAATAATTAAAACTTATTTTAGTTTGTAACAACATGAAAAGAACCTAGATATCTAATGAACTCACAATTAATTTCACCGGGTACTCAGTTATGACCCATACTCTAGATTTGAGGGTTAATGATACTACTCAATTGTTCAAACAGAATTAGACCGACTGAGGTTCGAATCCGGAACATAATGGCTACAAGCCAAGCTCCGTAACCATTAAGCTGCCGCTCCATATGTACTTATATTGTTCCACCACAAATGTTGTTATTCACTTACCAAAATTGGAAATTGTTAATGGTGAAATGAATTTATTTGATATAAACATTCGCAATTGACTCAAAACGATGCTAATATGTTAGATTCTATGGAATGTTATTTTAAATCAACATATTACTTACAAGAACAATAGGTCTATCGATTGTGCTTCATAAAATGTTTTAATGTACTTTTGAACTTGTATCATTAAATTATCAAGAAATAAATACACAACTTTAAAAAGTGCTGTGACGAAGTTTATGTAAACTGTGAATAAGGATCTAGCTACAGAACTCCAAATCAATAATCAGTCAATCATCATCGACACAGAGTCTAATAGGTATGAGATCGCCCAAGTTATCATATCACACATCAACATGCGATGAAATTAAGATGATGAATAGCAAAAGAGATCAATATAATATAGTAGCAATGATAATCAGGAAGATCAAACATTAGGAATATGATCCGGAAAAAGAGTAGAGACGCATATGAGGAGGGATATTAGGATTCACAATCGAGAGAAAGATAAATAACGAATGTATCTGCTCAATTTTAAACTATTTCGAGTCATATTACCTAAAATTTCCAACCACTGATCGCAGTTATTGAGGAAACACCAACAACGTAATCTATATCTAACTGCGTGGAACAGAATACGTTGGAGTTATTTGCACTAATCGGGAACTTATGATACATAGAATGAATCCCTTATATTTTCTTTCCACTAGCTTCTTAATACGGACTTTTAGTTCCCTAATATTAACGTTTTCTAAAAACTCAAATGAAATAGACAATTAAAAGTAACCTAAATAATTAATAATTAAACCAGTGGAAGGCTAAATGTGAATAATATGATTGGACTATAGACGTACAATGTCGATTAAAAGCCAAGTGTAAAGATTTTTATTTATGGATGAATTGAGTTAATAATATTTTTTGAAATAGTTTACTTTGAACAATGATGTAATCGAAAAAACAGAATGAAACAACTTACCCAAATATCAAATTTACCAGGATAAAGACGCTCAGGTATACGTAGTGCATAAATGGTAGCTCCTGATATATATAGTACAGCCATTAGAATTAGCCATCCCAGTGCAGAATAATGAACACCCTCTTGAAGATCTTCAATTAGAATATAATGTACACATGGAACCACTCCCGATAGACCAAGAGCAATAAACAAAACTGAAATTTACAACGATCAGTAAGTCAACCAAACAAACAAATTATCAATATTGAACAAAATAAACGCATGGTAATCATAACCTAATTTTCCGTGAAGTATAATTACAAAGTGACGATTATCATGGTTACGCAGCCTCACTGACAAAAAACAAGAGTGCGAACAGAAGTGATTTAAGGTTAAAGTGAATAAATAGAATTTTAGAGGTACACAGAGTTTGTTAAAATATTTTTGAACGTTGAAACAGTAAAATTTGAATATAAAATAATCTGGTATGGCCATGTGTAAATGACCAATCCGTGCAACTAAAATTCTACACAACAAAACGTATATTCTCTAGAAATAAACACTTTATCCCGGACTTGTCTTTGAAGAGTAAGATGTTAAAACGTATCTACCTCGAACTTCCTAGATATCGTCGACAACCAATATTTAGTTAACTAAAGTATGTAGACACATTACTCGCTGTTAAAATATCAAAATTATTGCACATGGTGTGTAAGAGTCGAGTATTGAATAAACTAAAGAATTTCATAGATATGACTTCATAGAATGTTTTTGTAATCTGTCAAAGATGCAGCTATATTTGTGCTCTTTACCAACGTATTGAAGTAAAGTTACATGGAAATAATAGTAAATCTGATTAATTCATTTCTAGTGAACTTAAGAGAACTTCCTTTATCATGAACTGATCCAATCAAATACTGAAATCAATAGAATAGGACATAATCCGATTTACAAATCCAAACCTTCAATCAATTATTAATCAGGAAAAATCTTTACGAATAGATATAAATAGGTTAATTAAACTCAATTCTAAGTTTTGGACCCTGTTAAGCGACTTTTTCGATCTCGTTGAAGACTATAAAGCCAACATCGATTCTACGATCAAGTTTTTAATTGGAAGTTTATTCGAAAGTCAGCCTACTTCTTTAAGTCTCCCATCAATTGTTCTAATTTCTTATGATGATTGTTTAATTCAGATACCTTTTAATTTAGTCACAAATATTTACAGTCCACTAGCATTATTTTCCCCAGATTATTAAACAATTAAATATTCCTGGCACCAATCATATTTTGTCAGGCCTTTTTAGGATGAATATCGTTACTCTGAGATAGCTCATAAACCAATTAATTGGAAACAATTTGAGATGAAAGAAAGCGATCTCTTTAAATTAAACTGTTCTCTTCTCCAGTTTCTATTGTAAACATTGGCTAATAACGTTATAGCATATTTACCTTCGATTTCGATTGGGACAGAGTAAAATGTAACACACAATTTAACCGAGAATCGATTAACAGTTTCAAGTCACCAGAGAAAAGTGATAAAATACTGCCAAATATGTTTTGTCAGTCTTCTCCAGTGACTTGAAACCGACCAGTACTTGATATTTTAACTAATATACAATTAAATCGCGGATACGGTATGCACACATAACTTACGTGCTCTAGCTGCACGATACGTTGGGCTAAGAAAATAATCTTGCGTGCATACAAAAGCGCAAAATCCACCAAGTATCAGCACAGCCAAAATATAAACAAGTTTGAATGAATTATAACAATAGAAAGAATAATGGATCCATGGGATAAATGAACCGATAACAAGTAATGATATTCCAACATAGTCCAATCTGCAAAAAACAATTAAAGTTATACCGTTTTTTATATAATAATACGCTTAAATATTCTATTTGTAGAAAAAGACGTTTAAATCTAGAGAGAAAGAGGATATGTAAGATGTAATACCACATGAATTAAGTTACTTAAGTGAATCGAGAGATATTTAAAAGAATGTATCTAAATAAATACCGAAACTTCGTAGCATAAATGAATGAAGCTGTGCTTCAGTGATTTTCTGTTGTAACTTGGAGAAATACTAGTATGGATAATTTTTATAACTGAGAAAAGATCTTCCAAAAATAAATAACATTTTACCTGATGCTCAATTTATTTGAAATTAACAAGCCTAACCTTGGTAACAAGACTTATGAACAAAGACTGATATGGGTTGATGTAAGGGAATGGGTAAGACTACGGATTAAAACTATATTATGCACTAACAATAATCCCACAACTGATCTAACTACTGATCGACAAGTGTATCAAGTAGTTTTTCACCATAGCTCTATGCTAATATATATATATATATGATTTACAGCAACAACAAAATACTAATCGAATAATTGTGTAACATAATTATATAACTTTAAAGCGATCATAAAATGATATCAATTTATTAATTGAGTAATTGGAAGAAAGAGCATTATTATGGTGAAAGTAATTATTTATAAACGTTAAAAAATTCAACTAAACAGCTACAAGACTGTATAATATTTAACAAGAGAATTAGAAAAATCTTTTGATAAAAACTAAGTTTTATAGTAGCTGTGTAAGAATCAGGAGACGGATATTGAAATGTAAAAGTAAACAAAAGTGACAAAATTCGAGAACTTTTCGAATATCTTTTGAAAGAATGAGGTTTAGCTAAAATGCGATTGTATATCTGTGGTTAAGGTGGAGAGGGCGGTTGTACAAACATCTTTGGAACGCAAAGGTTAGGTTTGTGAACATAGATTCTGACAGCTTCAGTGGTATGTAGAAGACAAACCCGTAAATCATAAGGTGGTGTCCTGTGTACACCAAGTGAACAAGAAAAGAACTTTGAATTACTCTTACCTGTTTTTTGCTAAACCAAGACGAATGGCGTTCTGCTATACGAGGAGGGACTTACCGAATTGTACGTCCTATATAACTTGCTCCTCATAAGCAGTTGAGTTAATAAATACTCATGGATATACAGAATTCAGGCAATCTATTTTTAATAATGGTTCTCATTATTAAACGATTGTAGAAGAGTGGATTCAGTTTGGCTGCAGTAAACGTTTTATGAGTAGCTTTTCTCAACCTATGCGTTACTGTTTCCTTGGTAGCACCACTTAGGAATTGTAACTTCAAGAACAGGGAAATCTTTGGAAAAGCTGTTACCTCCGGTCTCATTTTTACTCAATTTACCTACTTGTACTAAGAAAGTTAAGAATACTACACAATTTATCTTTAGAGGCGTCATCAGAGCAAACCACTTTGGTACGATGAATCAGGGTCTTTACTAGGTCTCTTTTATACACGATTTGTACAGAACTATAACAATGAATATCTTGTCCGATTGCGAATTTCCTATGTATCCCTTTTACTAATCTTCCGTCTAATCTCTTAAGTCGGACGTCTAAAAATGATGTGCTATTATTCTGTTTTCACTCAAGCATGAACCTAGTAGATGGATGAACGTGATTAATTACAATAAGCAAACTATTCTTTATATTTTTATTTTCAATTGCTAAGAAAGTATCATTTATGTAGGGACAGTAGGATGTTTTTACAGACAGTGTCTTTAAGTTGTCTATTTTCTAGTTTTGCGAGAAAAGTCTGTCAGCGAATGACCCAATGGTGATTACATGGTTGCACCATCTATCTGTCTTTTACTAGATATTCGAAAAGGAATCTCCACTAAACTGCAGCCAAATTACGCTGTTAAATATCATTTAGTTGGTCAGCAGTCAAATTTCAGTACACTGAACTGGCAGTACTTGACACAAATTAATGAATAACTTGATATATGTATACAACATTAACAGATAAACTGCAGAAACTGACAGTTATAACTAAATTCCTGAGTTATATATTTGGTTTTTCCTATTACTTACTTGGTTTTACACATTTGACATTTTAATATTGACCTTAGCTACCTCAGAATTTCATGACTGTACAGAGAAAATAAAGGCTCTTTGAAAATTACACTGAACATTATTAACTCTTGTTTTATAACACGTTCGAAATGCTATATTGTTTTAACTGCTGAAGGTGTTTTTATGTAAAATCACAAAGTGAAAGATGTTTATTTTTATCATAATTACCACTAATTAAATTCATAATTGATAAAAATACATGTAGTGGACTTAATAAAACTAAATAATGTGATATTGAAGCAGATATATGGAGCTGTGAATAGTGAAATGTTTGAGTGAGTTTAAGACTGGAAGCAACGCCCGTCGCGTTTTTTTAAAAAAGTTGTTAATTCGATAATAAGGTCAAATTAATTCTACAATTTTAAGCAAGTTATATAGAAGAAATAATACTAAGTGTTTGAAATATTTTGAAAAAAACCTTGACGAGTCGTTCTCGGAATCCATCGCATGAAAATAAGCTTTCTTTAAGAGACAAAAAGGGTGTCAGGACTAGAAGACATGGGAAATATTTATGATAGATTTATGTAGCTTTGGCCAAGGCTTGTTGCAATTATAATAAGTTTGCACTATTCTTAAGGTTTATAAATATATATGCTGAAATTCATAAGGTCTCAACAAATAAATATCAAGTTACGGGAATAAAGCAACAATCTATACTGGAAATGATCATAGAATACTCACTTGTTGAATAATTTACCAACACGTTCTGAATGGCAGTAAACTGTGTGAAACAACCATGAAAAACCAAGTGCAAGAATGGCGCTTGTAAAAAATACCTGAACAACCATTTTCTCTTGCCAATGTATATTTAAACCCGGATGAACTAGAAATGAGATACTCAAGATCAGAAAACAAACGAAACCTACAAAAAAAGTCGGAAAAATTAGATGACACGTGTCAGAAAGTCGAGTTGATAAGTTAAAACTACCCAATGGACAAAAATGCAGATGCAAAAACCACATAGAGTGAACATATTGTGAATATTACAAATATTTACATATTTCCAACAGGTATTATCATTAAGACTTTGAGTTTTAAAATATATGGAACAAAATGTCGGCTTCACTGATTACTATTAAATACAACCGAAATATTAGCAAATGAAAGAATGATATATCTGTTTAATCAGTGATTACTGAGATCAGAGACTAATCAAACAGTGACGTAAATACTGGAAAATAGCCTAAAACTTAATAATAGCAAGCACAAAACAGTCCACACTCAAAATGTAATAAGGTAATGCTAAAGGTGATATTGTCACTTAGCTTCTTGAAGGACTGCCATTAATGAAATGTTCCCACATATGTATAAATTGTCTGAAGTTTTTAAACATAACTGGGATCTAGCTACTGTTTGGAAGTATTTTAGAGCTTTTTGTTTGTTGACTTCAAAATAATGAATATATATTTGATCACTTGGATTATGTGCAGCCACTACTTAGTAATCTTAATATAGTAAACAGTTAAAACCGGTTTTGATCTATTTAAAAGAAAAAAATATATATCTTATGAAAAGAAGACTTCTGAATTTGTTTTCTAATAGTGTGACAGTTTGAGGTGGGAACGCAATGCAATCACCGAGACGATAAAGTAAAAACGAAATGAAATTCCACAAATTATTACACGGTGAGAGAAATATATTACTCTCACTACGGAAATGTAAATGGCTCTCAGTCAAAAACTACACTTTTGAACTTATCCTGTAGACTTAAACATAAGAGCAGTAACAAAAAATCCAAGATGTTTTACATCCATTAACATGGGAACGTAAAACGCAAACACCACACAATGCCATCAAAGCAATAATGATGCCCAACAAGTTGTATTTATGCCAGAGAACCTACACGTTGAGGTCTCAGCATGTATCTGAAATATGTGGACTTTTTATGAACTAGAAATCAAAAAATTAAGACTTACAGTGACCTCTGCATAATGCAGAATCTCTACAGGACTTAATGACACCATTATGATATTTCTCTAAAAAAACATTCAATGAGGCGTGTCACGAGTTATCAATAGTGCTCACAATTCGTCAAGGTTACGAGGAAGACCAAGAAAAGTGACAGCACAGACAATCAATACAAACGTAATAGATATGTATCGACAAGATTTGTTTCGTAAGTTAGAGTCAAAGTGGAATAAGATGGATGCAAATATTAACACACAAATTATTGATGATTTACCAATGAGATGTGTCCAAATATTTCCTGTTTCCGTATGAAGTCGGAAGATAGAACGGAAGCATTCACGAAATGATGGGAGTTGCGGACGGTGACCCCGGAGAAGAAAATCGTTGTCTTTTAACCAGTGTGGTAAGCTATGGTGATGAACTACTCTCCACCCTTTTTTCCAAAGGTGAATAACCAACTCTTCTGCTTGTTCTACAGCCCTACTAGCAGCCTCTCCAATCTCATGAGCCGCGAACGTGAAGTAATCTCCACCATAACTAGCAGATCGACGATGTGCGCACAAGGGAGAGTGATTCGTTTTGGGAACAGTTAGTGACTGCAAGTCAGTAACAGAAGAATTTAGATCCCAAGACGGTTGTGGTGTATATGCGTTGGTGGCCACATGGTTCGAAGAATCGCTGGGCAGGCAAAACTTCGGCAACTTTCGCCTCCTGACAGCACCCTGTGGCATCCAATCTGCATTTGTTTGATTTGAGATCAGAGGATCACAGGAAGATGTGGTGATACAGGCAGACCCGTCTGAATGCATCCGTCTATGTTTACCACGCGTGTTCTGCATATTATCCTATATCAAAGAATTAGGAAACACTTCGGGTGATATTTACGTGTTGAGAAGAAACATGGTGAATATTATGCGACAAATAGTCTGCTGGTCTAAAAGAACTCCCCATCATTGAATGGAAACACACATAAAGCGCGCTCAAGTCAGCTGATTCTGGTTCAATGAACGGACTAAATAACATGATCCAACATAACAAATGTACATTACAAGATCTTAAATTACTCAAATAACGGTGAGGTTAATTTTATTAGGCCTTGTCTCGGATTTCGTTTTGCTTTATTTTTCAGTTTCACTTGATATAATCCTAAGACAACTTGGGGAAAAAATCAAGTGGAAGGTTTCAGTTTCATTTCGGAGAGGAAAGTAGTCTATGTGGCGTATGTTAGTGCCATCGTTGGTGATCTGCCGGTTGATCCAACTCGTATTTGAAAACATCGTCAGATGGAGCTTCAGTCTCGTGTTGAATTAATGGATTCCATTCGTTGATAATTCGATGAGAAATTTGATAGTCATCCGACAAATAATTTGTTCTGAGTTTGTGAACATCTTCAGAATGTCCTCGTAATTTCTCTGTTTTTACAAGGCATTTCAGATTCAATTTCATCATAAGGTCATTTAAAAATTTTGATCAAGTCGCCTCCGGTCCTTCTATATGACAAAGAAAATAGTTTACAGTTGAGCATCATACAGGAACTTCGCTATTCCTAAAATGAGCTTAGTTACGATTCTTTGAACCTTCTGCAACAGCTCACTGTCTCTTTTTAGCCAAGAGCTAGCCGTTCTAATGCGATACTCCAGTTTATTAAGAAGGAACATTGCATACAAAGTCAAAAGGGTTTTAGCTCCAACATAGCTTAAAAACCTACGTATTGGCCATAGAGTTCTAAAATCTTTTACAACTATCGCACAGCAGTATGGAGAAGTTTAAAATCTTGACTAACGATGGCTCCTAAGTCATTATGTGTCTAAATAACAGGTAGATCAGTGCTACTCACGGACTACGTATATATACATTGGTGACCAATATTCATCACGATGCACTTGAAAGTGTTTATCGGCAACGGCCAAATTTTAGACCAGTCAGATAATATCTCCAGATCATTTCAAAGTTCTAAACTATCACTCTTACTTTTTATCGCTCTCCATATCTTGAAATCCTCAGCATATAACAAAACCAATGATGTCTGAGGGTCATTTACATACAAGATGAACAACACTCCCACAAACTGCACCCTGCGGCACTCCGCTAAGCACAGCTTCCCGGTTAGAGGACTCATTTATACTCTCTGTTGACGCCCAACCAAGAAGTCTCAACATTATTTACATTGCCTAAGTAACTTAAGAATACCTTAACTTTACCATAATGGTCCTACTTTGATAATGAAGTACTTCTGTCTCCTCGTAATGCTAGAATATTTTCTATTCTCCTAGTCCTTTGGTTTATGCATCAGTATGTGCGTTTAAGATACTTTAAAGACTCCTTGGAAAGTCTTTGCTCGTCCAAATATCTAGACTTTCAGAAGACCGAAGCAAAATTATTTCGAGCTTCCTGGTTTTGAGATTTTGCTTCATCGGCTCCCTGTAACGTAAATATTTTCCCCATTTTTCTCCTCTTAATGAGAAGGGTTCGAACCTCTTTGCATAACCACAGTGAGGAATTTCTCTAACTGTTTGGTATAGTACAAGAGATGCGCGGTGCGGTGACCTTAGGTGCATCAAAGTCTCCATTGATTAAAAGCCAACCACTTGAACCTATTTGGTAAGACCTAATTCATTCCACAGTATGAACTGAAGTAGACGGCTTTCGCTTTTTGTAATTCAAGCGGCAACTAACTACTTTACAACTCCCAATTTAATGGGATATTTTATCAATAACGGCAAATGGAATAATATTTCTTATGAGTAGATCTGTAGAATAATGGTCTACTATGATATGTGTACTGCTCTGATGATAAGCCTAATCCTAAAATTGTACACTTGTAATGATGTAACTGCCTAATCTATAAGACCTTACGTGGAAGTCACATCATTGTCTATACTGACTCATCGTGTCATAACAAATGCTAATATATGATAGAGAACACATCTCGGCTAGAGATAGAACAATATATTTAGTACAAATAAAAGGTATATAACAGCACTATACGGTGACCACGCCTGCAATGGCGAGCCATGCCATCCGTTCAATTCGAATTAATTCAATTCCTTCTTCCCGTTTTCTCCATTGTTAGGTTTTTCTTCGCGTTGAATATTGAATATCAAGTTTCCCAGTTGTCCATTGCTCATCTTTGACGATTGTGTGGTTGGGGCCAATGTCAATACAGAACCACTTATCCTTCTTTAAGCTTCTTGATTTTGTTGGCTAGTGTGAAACCTTCGAAACATGTTCACTACTGTCTAAAGACGGTGTCAGCTTAGTTTCGTTGAGTGTGATTGCAATCGACCTGATAGAGTCTGGCTATACACCTACCTTGATTAGCTTGCTGAGCAAGCTCCAAGCATTTGTGTCACAGACTCGATGATCATTTAAATTATTTCGTGTGCTAATGACTCAGTTTACTATACTGTAACCCAACTGCTTGCTTTACAAGTCTAGATGAAACGGGACTAAACTAGGATTTAAGAGGATATTCAGTGCTTTTTGGCTTGCTGCAATCCCTTACAAGGTCGCCTCTGAGTCGTTTATATCCTAAGTTGTAAAGATCACGTTTTTAGGGCGTTTCTCGAGATGTGGAGGTAAATTATTCTGCCAACATAAAACAGATGTTGATGGAAATGTCACGAAAGATATAAGTGGGATGGTTAGAGGCGGTAGACAACATCTTGAACTAAGAATAAAAGCCAGAATCCTACGACCTATCGGAGTTTCTGGAAAACAGCGTGACTTACCACACTTACTTAGGGGCAACTCTCAAGTGGAAGCTGCAAATTTCAGACAAAATCAGTATGTAACTAATCCACGTCGATTCGAGCTAAGTACTATGCAATGTCGAGCCTTAATAAGAGCCATTATCAAGTTCATTCTAGTGTTCATGTGTCCTCGTCCAGTGCATGGATGTTGACAGAGAGTCACAACTTGTGGGAAGATATACTGAAGAGGGCCAATTTGTGTTTTCATTGTTTAAGGCCTGATCACCTACCGACAGGCTGCTCACTACCCATGACGTGCCATATTGATTGTCATAAACAACGGCATCATAAGCTTCCCATAATACAGAACCTGTGATTAAGCACACTTATTCAGTCATATTTGCTAAACCTGAGCTTGCTTCTGATGTTTACCTTTTGAATTACATGAACCTACGGAATGAGTGGATAATGTATGCTTTATTAGATAGGGTGTAGGATACGTTGCTACAATTAGGTGATGTAGCAAAGCAGGTGATAACACTTGGGACAGCCCCCCTTTAAATGTACTCCCATCAGAAGAACGTCCTGTATTATATCAGTACTCATTGGTTTTAAGCTTGAATGATTATATAGGGCTAACCGAATGAAGAATAACGGAGCGTACATTGTTGATAACCTTCCTACTAAGATAGCAGAAATCCGACCGACCAATATACCTCAAGATGGTGACGTTTGAGAGTTGGACAGTTACTTAATATAATATGTGAGGGAGTAAAGCTGTTGATCGAAGTTGCTGTTTCATAAGCTCACTGGGTTCTCGATGAATGCTGAAGAAGCACTTAGCATCCATATGCGTTGTCGAATATGCTAGGATGAGCATTGTTCGGACCAGTACATTAAACTGTTTAGAGGTGAAAACATCGATCGAGAACAACATCATCAAAAGGTTTCACCATGGATTTTCGGAAGACCAACACTGATGAGATTATCATGTCGTCGTTTGATAAAACGATTTTAGGGATTACAGACAAACTGACAGAACTTTACAGCTACCATTGTCAAGTGTTGTTACTATGGAAGACGCAGCTATGGAACTTCTGACGTCTGGAGCGAACATGAGGTACACGTTTTCTCAACGTCATAGTTCACAACAAGCGCTCTACAAATCTACTATATAACAATTATAAACCTAAAACGTTGCATTGCACAAATACTTAGCACGACCAGAATTCTAACACAATAATGCCGAGGCTGGATCTGGTGTTTAATGTGCACGCGATACCACTTTGGAAAATATTTTGGAGACAGCACTCGGTGTAATACTAAATCCTAAATCTAATCATTGACGGTCCAAGTCATGTGCACGAATGTGCTGTTAATCACTCTCATTGATTATATGTACTTAACGACCGTACTTGTGAAGTATACTGTAAACCAATAGATGTTGTAATTTGTGGATCACGCCTGTAAAAATGGTGTTTTCTGTGTAGAAATATATTATTAAGAAATTACTTAATACACGAAGGACCAGAGACTGAAATAATATTCGAAATAAGTGGTGCAAAACTTATAAGAGTAGATTAATGTAGGGAATATTCAAGGGGTAGTTGAGGAAGAATGGTGAGTCTGTATTAAAAGGAAGGCATTATGTTACCGTTTCGCAAAATTCATACACGAGAGGGTTTTATTAAAGTTCACTCAGAAACATGCAAAAGTAATCTTACAGTGATCTTTTTAACTAAGGTTGTGAATATCAGTTGAACTCCACTGATTCATCATGGCACCCAACAAAACACAAAATTGAACTTCTGCAGCAAAAATTTAAAAGTTAACAAAACTGATTGCAAAATATTTGAAAACGAATGTTTTATTCGTAACTGCCTATTAACTTTGATACTACATCTTCAAAACCATTGTAAAATTATTAGGCAAATTTTATACAGCATTCTTTAAATCATCTTGGAACCACTCCTCTTCCAATGTGTAACTGAACAGAATGACAATTATGACCAAAATGACCTTAGGGCCAACACGGAAGTATAAAACTTGAAGCGAATTTCGATCGATTTGATATTTGGACCTTTGCTAAACTCTTAACAACTTTACTCGACTACATTCAGAGCATGGAAATATAGTGTTTCCTCATTCACTCCTAAAGAATAAGAATGATTTAGTATATGTACAAAGGTGGGTCACGAAATCAGTTCATGGAATCAAACGGAAGTCTTACAAGAAACGCCCTAAAACACTTGATCTTTACGA